GTCCGCCCCACCGCCCTCCCGGCCCAGGGAGCAAGAGCCCCACGGGCAAGCACGCCCCACCACGGCCACCACCGCCCCAGCCCCAGCCCAGCCGCCACGGCCACCGCCACGGCCACCGCCATGGCCCAGCCGCACAAAGCGCACGCTACCGCGGCGAGCTCAGCTTGTGCTTCACGCACCCAGCCGGGTACGTTACCGCCATCCGCATGGCAGCTGTACAGTCTGGTGCGAGTTCTCAACAGGTGCAACAAATAAGAGCTTTTCTGAGGTGCAAATCCTAGCCTTAAAACATTTCCAACAGCCATGTTTGTTACCTGTTACTTCTGTTCTGTTACAGAGGGGGCCTGCTTCACAGAATCCCATCCCAGTTCTCTGACAAAGCCAGCAGTAGGCGCTGCCGTTTCTAACATTTACCTTGATGTTATTGGAATCTGTAAGGAACATGGTGAGGCGATCAATCCCCATGCCCCAGCCAGCTGTAGGGGGAAGACCATACTCCAGCGCGACGCAAAAGTTCTCATCAATAAACATCGCTTCATCATCACCTGCAGCTTTTGCCTAAATGAGAACATAAGTAGTTTAAAAGGGTTCGCACAGAGCTAGAAATACTACTACTTCTACTAACTCCTAACAAAAAAGAATGAACATTTATACTTGTAGGAGCCAGGTAACTGATACAACCAAGGCTCTTCTGTACAGCCACATCAGCAAATAACAGATTAAGGAATCTCATCACCTGGAGAGTTCTGGAGGCCACTCATACAGGTGCTTCCAACACTAACTCTAGGTTGGCAAACCCTCTTCCTGCTCTCTATCTGATCTGCAGTTTTTCCACAGGTTTTATTGAAACTTTCCCATCTGTGTCTGCTATGTCACTTCCTTGCTGATCTAGGAGTTTCCTTTATAGACAAAGGTGCAACCCCTTCACTTTAGTAAAAGCTATCTCCAGGGCCACATCTGACTTTGGACTTCAACCACCTGTGTGGCAGCAGACCACCGTGGAAGTAAATACATTGCTTTCCAAGGCTTTTGGGCTTCTTTATTGCTTGCAGTCCTCTTCCTCCCTTAGTGTTTACAGAAACAAACACAGACCAGAATCATGTGAATCAGCAGTAATTGCTCCATGAAACAAAGTGTAGGCATCACTTTTTTCCACAAGTAAAAAGATTTGAAAAAACAACGCCGAGATGGTAACTCATACTTCTTAAATAAATTGACAGTGACAGCCTCCAAACGGTGAAAGCTATAGTAATAAAAATACAGACAAGCCAACCCTCTCAGATTTAGAAAGCATCAAGTGTAGGTGTTGAAACTACAAAACCAAAACATTTTGGCTCAGGCAGTTTCAAGAAAGATTGTTAAATAATTTTCTGCCTCAGTCTGAAACACTAAAATGTGAACTGCCACCATTCATCAGAGTTTCCAACTTAACATTAATTTTTCAGGCAAATTTTCAATCAATACATATAATCACATGTCTGCAAACACTGGCCATAAGCATGTAAGAGAACAGCAGCAAACATATATATAAAAATGCATCTGTACACACATGCATATACACACACACAGACCAAAGGGGAAAGATAGCTAAAATATTATTTCATGCTGACTGAATGTTTTGAAATTTCCTAACAAGTAAATTAGTTAACATACCTATATTTTCCTGATTTTGACCACTGTTTAATCCTCTCAGATAGCATGAAGCCATATAGAGATTAGAAAGAACAGGAACTCTTGTTTCTGCAGACGACATCATCTAACCTCCATTAAATGGGTGTGCATGCATATGTGTATACGTAACTATGTCACAAAATTAGTTCGAGTCCCTCCTTTCTTAGGCTTACCTAGAGAAACCTAGTCATATAAATCTGCAGGCTGAATAATTTCCAAACAGTTTGCGGGTCTATTCTGTAAGCCACTTTAAAATAATAATAGCTCAGGTCTGGAAATTAGTTTATTTCTTATGCACCATTAAAATTCTTACTGGACACAGAAATTAGTTTAATAAACTAGAAAGTATAATGTTGTATGATTACATAATAGCTTAACTGTGGAAAAATAACTCATTGTCAACCTTAAGATGACAGGAAACAGTCTGCACATCTGATTTTTTTCAGATTTGCACTTCAGGTAGAATAAAAGGGGGAAATATTCCAAAACATGGTATCACTACTAAAAAATTCTCCAAGGTAAACAAGTCTAAACTCCATGGTTAAGTTCTTTCTGAAGGAAGTAACTTTTGAAACCTAGTAAGTTTTAATGACAGGCTTTCACTCAAGTGAGAAACACTTACTCTCAAATTATTAACAGCCCTTTTCAGCAGCAGGGACTAATGCCAGATATGGAATAGACACAGGAAACATTATTTGCTTATGCGCCTAAATTGTTGATTCACTATCATCCACACGCCCTACCTTGGCCTGGTCCTCAAAAAGCTGCCGCTGCCGAAAAGGATCATTCAGCTCTGTGTACGCATTGCATACTTCCTTCTTCATCACAAAGAGTTCAAAGCGTTCTGTCAGTCCCGGACAACGGCGATGCCTACATCAAGACGACAAAGGAACCGCGCTTTAAAACGAACAGCTTTACAGAAGCAAAAGACCGCATACGTTACTTCAAGAGGGTGGCCCACGTTTGACAGCTGTTACTGCCAAACTTCCCGCTACTGAGGATTGGTGCACTTCTCTGGAAGATGGGTTTCACAGCTAAGGAACCAATATCTATTTGGGTTGGTGGCAGAATTCACAAACCATTATATAGCATCAAAATCTCCATTTTCACATATGGGACCTTCTTAACAAAGTAGGAGTTAGAAGCGTTAAAGTGAGTTACATCATGACTGTCTCTGGTACTCTTACCATTTGGCTAGAGGACTCATGACCTGTGGGTGGTCACAGATGAATGTTGGGTTGATACAAGTGACTTCCAGAAATTCACCAACTAACTGGGAAGACAAAACAGAACAGATTACAGGTAGAGTACAATGTCGCTTTACTAGCACTGCCCACCCCAAACATCCTACTTCCTTCCCTTCAGTACTGAAGAAGGTACTGCAGAAGTGAAAAGTTTCCCAACTAATAATGTCTAATCATGATAACGTCTTCATTAACAGAGAACGTGTCATCAAGTTGGACAAGAAAAATGACATAGCACAAACAGTATTAAAAAAAAAAAAAGTAATTTAAGTTTTAATTTGGACACTGTGACAAAAGCCCATAGGAAAAGCAGGAAAAAAACAGCTATCAGGCAATACATTGCATTGAAAGAAAAAGACTTAATACAGTTGGTCTGAGTATTACATGGTAAGCCTACTAGTTTGGTAAGGTACGTAGGAATGCACAGATTGCACTGACAAAACTGACGTGAGATAAGGCTTATTCATCTTAGGCACAAGAGACTAGTTATCAAACTAAAATCCTCTAGAGCTGGCATTAAGCAGGCATCAGTACATATCACTACGTTCTGCTGTAGACAACAGAGAAAAAGATTTTGACACAGCAAGTTTTCTCCCTTTGATACAGAAAGAGTTTAACTGCATTTCAGTGTGTTTCCCCACATGCAGCCGAGCTTTTGCTCCGCATGGACTTCTGTTCATACAAATAGATCCTCAAAGACCTTAGGATTATGAAAACACCCCCTTTTCTTACCTTGTCAAGAAGCCTGGCTGTTGTCCTGGGGGGTGGACACTCAACATTTCTCTCCACACAAAGGTCATCAAAGAACTTGCGAGTTTCTGGAATTGTTGTAGACAGAAGTTAAGAAAAGCCACCCAGGCAGTATTTTCTTTCTGCATCCTTCAACACATCTTAGAGTGACTTTGAAGATTTTAATACTATACGTTGTGGACAACGTTAATTCAAATGTCAGTTTCAATCTAGAAAAGGGGTGTCTGTTTCCATCAATTTACACTAAAATAAAAGTTATTTCAGATTTCAGAGACTTGGGCAACAGTTACGCATAATCCCACAACATGACTGCTAGAGCTTATTAGCACAAAATCACTAGCAGGCATATGAACTTGTTTCCTTAAGGCGCTAGATTCCAGGGATAAAATGCGAGATGCATACATGTTGAAGAAAGACCAAAATAATCCTATCCTACAATCACAGGCATGGAGACTAAACAGCACTAAGGACAGAAGAAATGAGAAATAAAAAAATGGGTCTCTTCAACAAGAGCTCCACAAATGATGTTGTTGGAGGTATGGGACATCATCATCTCCTCGGTAACTACAACAGCATCATACATACTCAAGAAAGGGAGAAGCAAAAGAGTCAGATCTTGCCAAAGACTGAAAAGCATAAAGACTTCTTTCTGGAATCCCAGATAACAGACGAATCCAGAGAAAAGCAAGCCCATGTATTACCACCACTTCAAAAGAATAGCTAACAGACTGCAGATGGAGAACCTGAGGTATTTGCCCTCTTCACGTTAAGGAGGAATTAAAGCATATTCATTCTCAGCGCCTAACCTTCAGTTTCAAAACAATCAGCTGATGGAAATTTCACTCCCAGGACCTTTTCCAGTTCACACACCATGCTAATTCGCCGGAAGGGAGGAGTAAAATCTATCTCATAGGCCTGTCCATCTTGACCATCTGGATGGTAAACAATCTTGTAACTTCCAGTAACATGCTTCACCATCCCTAAAAGAGGAAACTGAAGTTTAGAAAACAGCATCAAGTCACATAAAACGCCATTCCTCTTGAAGATTTTTTTTTTTTTTAAACGTAATATGCTATAGGTCACCTGAAAGTAACTTCTCTGTAATTTCCATCACGTCATGATAGTCCGCATAAGCCATATAGAATTCACAAGTTGTGAACTCGGGATTGTGAGTCAGATCGATTCCTTCATTACGGAACTGACGCCCAATTTCATATACTCTGTCCATGCCTCCAACCACCACCATCTAAACAAAAGGAAACACTAGTAAAAACGCTAACTTTTTCAAGAGAAAATGCTTTCTTTCAAGAGAATGAAAGAAAGATCAGACAAGTATACCTGAGGGAATGGCAACAAGACCTAGTGAATCTCATTCGAGGCGCATTTTGTTTTCTCCAGTCCAATGAGTCAACTGTTCTTCAAGAACAATCCTTACTTCAGCTATATTTACTTTTTTAGAATGAGGAAAAACAGCTTGGCCATGAGGGGCTTGTATTTTACCTTATGATAAAGCTCTGGAGCAATTCTCATATATAAATTCATATCCAGCTCGTTGTGGTATGTGATGAAAGGTTTAGCCACAGCTCCACCTGGAATTATATTCATCATAGGAGTTTCAATCTGAAAAATAAACAACAATGAATGCAACATCGGCATAAATATTACCAGGTTCCTAACTCAAGTGCGTGCTCTGCTTTAGTCCTTAGGGTATTTCTGTTTCCACAGCAGAACTCTGTAAAAGAAACAACAAAACACAGCTAGCTTTGATGAAAAACCTCTGTGTTTATTATTTGACATTCCAGTATATGAAAAGAGTTCTAAAATAAAGGGCATTCCTCCCATGCAGTCAATAAAGACGAGTTACTTAAGCTATCTGCTGCTATCAATAGTCATTCGTATTTATTATAAAAGTGAACCTGTTGGGTAATAAGCCAGGACCCGGGCTGTGGCACTGTCACAAAATCACCTATCTGTATTGCAGAAAATCCACTTGGTAAGATAGAGAGCTCTTTCATAAGACTTACAAGAAATACTAGTCTTTCTTAGTATCTTTTCCAAATCATTGCTCATATTGTAAATTTGTTACAATAGTCTCAACAAGAAAGCGGTAATACTGAAAGACATGAAACGCTGTGGCTACTGCAAACCTTGCAAAACCTAAGCAATTTAATACTGCTTTTGTAACAAAAAATAATAAAAAATATCACCTTTAAATGTGGAGCATTCAAAAATATTCGAGGGAGAGGAGAATGTATGCATACACAGATATGTCCACTTTAAAAAAAGTTTCTGCTAATTTTGTGTGCATGTGTATATATGTATATGTACATACATATACATATATAGAGAGAGAGATGGAATTCCAGAGCCCAAATGAACTAATTTATGAAAAGATATGCAAATTCAAGTTAAAAAACACACACACACACGCACACACAACTTACTGCATGCTGCAGCTCCGAAAAAATCATTACAAATTTACTTTCACACAAACTGCTTTTCCTTATCTGTTTAAAAGATGTGCAGTTATGGCTCAGGCAATATACACTATTAACTACGCAAGAAACAGACTTGAGGCCAGTATCAAATACAGACTACAGTTCCCAGGGCAAGAACCACCCGCCGGGCACAGAGACAAAATAAAGAAAAAGCAGCTATGAATGATGGAGAAACGGAACAGCAGAGTGATGTACAGCACAAACCTTGGGTGCTGATCCACTCTACTCAGAGGGCCAGTGGAGGTGGTCAAACGGAACAACCATCTGCTCCTATCCTCTGCCCAAGTGAGGACAATTTTCTAATTGATTCTGCAGGAGATGCCCGGTTTAAACTACTGCGCTGACAAACCAGCTTGCCTTTCACACCATTAGCACAAAGAACTTCAGACTGCCTGTCCTTATATTTGAAATGCATCTTTGCATCAACCAGAATTAATCTTCTGTTACTAACCCAGAATCATGAAAACAAGTATTCCACAGTTCACAACAGAACTACTAAAATGGTGCAGAATAGGAAACCTTCTATGAATTAGAAAGAGACTCAGGACTCCTGTGAAAGAACAAAGTTCAGGGCAAAAACAGAAGTCAACGAGTGATAAAACGAGAACGAGAGTGAATCTAGAATGTGAAAAAGAGAAGAAACTGTGTAGGATATGAATTAATATAGCTCCCTGAAGAAGTATTTTGAATTAATGCGATTCTCCAGACAGATCGACACTGTATAACAAGCTGAGCTGCAGAGAACAGAAAGCAGTCAGCATCCCAGGCAGTGCTGGAATTAGAAACTGAATTTAACTCATGAGCATGGAACTGACCCCAACCTAACAAGCCCTGACAATAAGCCGAAGAGCACAGTACGATACTCATTACGGTTTAGCTATACTTGTTCCAGTCCAAGCTGGTATCCGTCCCTGCCATGACGCTGTACCGTGATTCAGCAGTGGCTCATGTATCTTCCAATTGCAGCCTGCTGTATGGTAGGCAATTCCCTGACTCCTCTGCCTTGTATTTTATTCCCAACACACTCACCAACAAGCATAAGTAACTCACTCCACTATCCCAATGACAAGCTGACACTTTGTATAAACTGAGAAAAACTCTTAGGGTTCCTTTGGATCAAGTTATAATCAGAGCAGTAAAATCTGTAAGCACTAGATTAAGACTAGTTTGAAAAAGTAAACACATCAAAGAAACATACTGAAGTCAATCTATGCCAGATAGTGAAGACACAGGACAGATTTGGAGTGCTACATATTCCCACCGCCCTCAAACAACTCCACGGGCAGTTTTTGCAGAGTCAGTTGGTAAACACTTGTACACCAGCTACATCACAGTTAGCGAACAGATCATAACTTAAAGCTCAACAAAGAATGTGGATGCAACAAGAGAGCACAGCTAGTATCATTTTCTAATACCCTACTCTCCAATAGATGTTAAGACAGAATCAGTTTTACTTACATGAAGTAAAACCTGCATTTACCTCCCGAGGCAAAATGCAGCTTCAAAGATGTTATTTCCCACCTTAAATTACTGAAATAAGAAAAGGGCATCAATAGTTTGAAGTGCTAGCTTGATAAAAGTTCTCTGAATCACACACTAACACCTCACGAATAGTCTTAACTCTAAAAGCAGAAATAAGGAATAGTTCCCATTGTGTAAAACTGGAAAAACATGCTGTACTGAGGTCATTATTCTCACTTCTGTACACATTTTGCATATGAGCCTGAATATGAGGTAGCCTCGAAGCTGAGGAGCTCCAAAAATATCTGGTAGATGGAGAAAAATAATCCATGAAGCCTTACCTCAAGAAAGCCCAACTCATCTAGAAAGCTCCGAATATACGTAATGATCTTTGCACGGGTTATGAATTTCTGCCTCACGTAATCATTAAGAATTAAATCCAAGTATCTCTGACGATACCTAGTTTCCTGAAAAGAATAAATACTTTTAGAAAAACCTAAACCAAAACGTATTGTGAAAGGAAAAAAAGGAACCACAAAACAAAACACAAGAACAAAGCAAGACTAATGCATTGATACCACCAGCAGATACAAAAGGTCATCCATTTAGACCTTCTTTCAAACAGCCTCCAAGAGCAATAGGTGCGACAGCTACCTTATCTTTGAGGCCAAAGTGAAGATGAGGCAACATGTGCAGGCATGGAGACAACAAAGTTATTTCATAAGGAATAATACTCAGTTCCCCTTTCTTTGTTTTGCCAGGATTCCCCTGTACACCAATGATGTCCCCACGACGCAGCTTGTTGGTAATACGGAAGTATTCTTCCTCCGACTTGTAGAGCCTGTAATTACAATAACAATTTAAGCAGTTTCGTTTAAAGTTCAACTTTCCAAACCGCGTCCTGCAAGTCTCTTCTCCAGACCAAATCCTTTAACAAATACCTAGGAGGGATGCTAACCGCAACATCCTAGTACACCACTACCTGGCTGCCTGAGCCCATCCTTAGCTGAACAACCTAGCTAAAGAGATGAAGGAACAGGATGCCCAAACGCAGATCCCCAGGCCCCAGAGCGTAGTTTGGCTTAGAATGCTAGCGGGAATAATTCTACTTACCTGGAATTTGCCATGACCTGCAACTTGACTCCTTCGCCTCGAAGATCATAGAAGATCAGTTTCCCTCCAGAGGCACGCTTTGCGTGGATTCGACCTAAATACCAAAAGTACGCAGGACATCAGGAAACGTGTCCCTAACAGAAAGGGTATTAGGGCAAAAGCCACAGTCTTGTCATTTGGACAAAGGATCGTCAGCTCAGAATTGATTGCTAACTGTCAAAGAGAAGCAGTTAACGCCTCACAATTAATACCACTGCACAAAAGGTCATATGAACATTGGGTCATGGAGCCCGAGTCATAATCCGATCTCTTGCTTGTCAGGGACGTTGTAATACTCCCCTCAGTCTGAAAGGTCCTGTCTTGAATAGTCTAACACTGCTACAAACTTAGCTTCGTGACTGAGTAGCAAAGGATCAGCAGAATTAGAAAACAGACCACCCCATCTCTAAAAACAGCTAGGACTTGGCTTCACAAAGCAACGGACCATCCTTCTATACCCGAGAATAAACTTTACCTGCCACTCTCACTGTCACGTCAGTCAGGTGATCTCCTGGCTGCAGGTGGCTGTACTTCTCTATAAAATCTGAGAGAGATGAGTCTACGTGGAATTTGTGGGGGTAAGGATCTTCACTGGTGCCCTTCAGCTGCTGGACTGCATGGCTACGGATCTTGTAATATTGCTGTCACCAAAAAACAAAACCAAAGGATTTTGTTAAAAACTGAAAATCTGTTGCAGGTTAAAAACTAAAACACAGCTGCCCTGATTTAGGAAAATGGAAGTCTCTCCCCTTTTAACCCTTTAGCTTGGTGGAACTAAAAATCAAGTGTAAATTAATAACACTTATTCTCAGAACATTAATAAGCAGGGGGCCAGATGCTCACATTCGGATCCAAGCTTTCCTCATCAGCACCAATGTTATTCTCAGAGTCAGGAGTCAAGCAAGACTTATCTGATTGCTTTTCGTTTTGCTCTTTCTGCTTTGCCTCTTTTTCGGCCATTTTTCTCTCCGCCTTCAAACGTCTCTTCAGCTCACTGCAATGAAGGAGGAAACCAGACACAGCAGGTAACTTTTGAGACTTCTATACGGAAACACGTGGCAGAAGATTCTGCCCAAAGCTCGCTGTATGCGTAACCCTGCCGTTCCCCTTACTCTACCCAAAAGTCACGATGAATGTTTAACCATGTCTAAATGCCTTCTCCTCTGAATTCCTTCAGCTCGCCTCTGAGGAGGCGCAAACACTCAGAGGAAACCAAAACCAAGCACCGTGTAGACGTGCCTCGGGGAGGGGAGCCGTGCGCCCACAGGCCCCCCGCGGCCCCCTTCGTGCGCTGGGGCCGC